ATATATAAATAAATATATATATATGCAACTGAGCAACCTCTTCGTCTTTTCCGCAGCTGATTTCAAAATATATTGTATATATGCTTCTTTCGTTGTCTCTCACTCTCTCTAATTACTGTCTGTAGTGTCGTTTACAAACACAAGGACATTTGGTCTCTCCCCTTCTTCTGTAAACCTGTACATTATTCATGTCCGAGTCACTGGAGACCCATGAGCTGCTGCATACAGGGTTTCCCTTTTGCCTTTAAACACTTTAATGCAACCCTAATAATAACATCACATTATGTATTTATCTGACACATACTCTCAGGAGTGTGAGTGAACACACATATGGTCATTTCTCCCTGATGGAAAAAGTACACAGCACTGACCCACTGGGATGAAACCCTACTACATGTCCGCCTTTGGTTCTAAGTATTTGCATTTGTTTTAGTTTTCCTCGCTTTCTCTCAGAAGTACACAAATATATACACACGTGCCCTATTGCACAGATGCACAAAAGACACACAGATCCTCCTGTCTCTGTGCACGAGTCTCTCCTGGGATCTGCACGGTCGAAGAATTTCTCTGTAAGTCTTTTACCAGATGCTTGACAAGAAACACACACCATCTGCTACTGAATGTGCCTGATGCATTCCAGAGAATCTTAGCATAACCTCAGACTGCCATAGTGAGAAGACATTCACACAGCACTTTTACCGCAAAAGTTCAGTCAACAGATTGGTGACATTGGTGACACAGGTGACACAGATTTATAAAAAGCTGCTATAATGCTATATGGCACTGACCCACTGGGATGAAACCCTACTACATGTCCGCCTTTGGTTCTAAGTATTTGCATTTGTTTTAGTTTTCCTCGCTTTCTCTCAGAAGTACACAAATATATACACACGTGCCCTATTGCACAGATGCACAAAAGACACACAGATCCTCCTGTCTCTGTGCACGAGTCTCTCCTGGGATCTGCACGGTCGAAGAATTTCTCTGTAAGTCTTTTACCAGATGCTTGACAAGAAACACACACCATCTGCTACTGAATGTGCCTGATGCATTCCAGAGAATCTTAGCATTACCTCAGACTGCCATAGTGAGAAGACATTCACACAGCACTTTTACCGCAAAAGTTCAGTCAACAGATTGGTGACATTAAAAAGCTGCTATAATGCTATATGTTGTAAATGGAATTGCACTTAGCAAAAATCATTGATTCAACATTGAATTAACGTTAAATCGATCTTTGCTATTTGGGATAAGTTAAATGTCATAAGAATGCACCATTAACCATACAGTGAAGAAGTGGATTATATTCATCATTCAGTTCTCACTTCGTCCATAAAGTTTAGCTAATAAAACCAAACTTTATTATGCTATTAAGCGATAAGAATGAATTAAGCTGCCTCATTTAATACAACAATCATTTAATCTGTTAATCATGTAGTAGTTTAATAAAATGATCTGTGATTATCAGGGATGAAGATGTGATAAGAACTCCGTTTAATGAAAACACTCGCTCAACTGTCATGCCCATTGTCCTCTTGTGAAATTAATTCTGTCATCGTTTATTCACCCTCATATCGTTCCAAAACACTAAGATATTTCTCAAAATATCTTCTTTTTGTATTCCACAGAAGAAAGAAAGCCATAGACATTTGAAACGACATGAGAATATTCAAACTCTTTACAGAAAGGTCTCCCAGCCCAGAAATGACTCGAATCGGAGACCTTCTTGCTGTGAGGTGACAATACTCCCATTAAAGCCACTGTGACACACCAATACACCTCCATTACTTTTACTATCTTTGTTGCTGTAACCTATCAATCACTCATGTAGCAGATTAATCTCACAAAAGGTTAATCTATTTCCTGCCTAAGACACTTGTCAACATCTGTGACTTATCCCACCACCGTAAATTCTTCACCAAAAATGCTTGTTGTCCAGACTAAAAAGTCATTAGTTTAACTCTGTGTTAGCAATTATGAGTTTTATTGTTGATCAATTTTCAATGCGGCTGTGTTGCTCACAGATAAGGACTAAGGAGGCACTTTTACATGCCATGGCAGTGATAACACAGCTTCGCTGTGCTCAAAGAGGCGTCTCCACTTTGCTGGATCACTGAGACCAGAAGGATTGGCTTTTATTTATCTCTCTCTCACTCCTTAACTCTATCTCTCTTTTGCTCCATTTCAGATTTCAACATTTCAGAAATTCTTATAATTGAAGTAAAATAAATGCAATTCAATTGGTCTTAATCAGTAAATAAAAAAAACTAATCGAACATATTTTATCCACCCATTCATATATATATTTATACTATTTATATATAACTATGGGAAGTGATATGGAACTGTAATGCGGTCAAGAGAGCTGCCTGGAACTACGTTCGCCGTGCGTTTCCCTGAAAATAATTGCACACCTCAGAACGTTCGTCAGCCAATCAGATTCAAGCATTCAACGGCCCCGTAGTATAAAAGCGGAATAATTGACTCCGGGCCGTTGAATTATTAGAAAAATAATGCACACCAGAGGGTAACCTCGGGTGTGCATTCTTTTTCTAATAATTAAACGGCCCGGAGTCAATTATTCCTTACATATATATATATATATATACAGGTGCATCTCAATAAATTAGAATGTCGTGGAAAAGTTCAT